TATAGAATTTGTAAAGTACCTAATAATGATCCTAGAATTTCAGTTGTTTCTGTTGTAATATCCCATTCTTTGTCTCTAATTTGATAAATTTAAGTCCTCTCTGTCTTTTAGTTAGTCTAGATTGTATATTTTTGCAGAATCACTTCTTTCATTGATGCTTTTTATTTTTAATTCTCTTTATTGTTAACATGAGATCTGATCTTTACTGGTCTTTTCCTTCTACTGGTTTTGGAATTGATTTGTTCTTGTTTTTTCTAAAAACTTGATTTGTATCATTAGTTTATTTATTTGAGATCTTTCTGATATTCTTATATAGGCATTCATAGTATCAACTTCCCTGTCACAACTGCCTTTGCAGTATCTCATAGGTTCTTTTATGTTGTATTTCTGTTCGTGTTTGATTCTAAGAATCAAATGTATCCCCTGATTGATTTGACAACAAGGTTATTCAAAATGTATTTAATGTCCATGTGTTTTTTAGATTCTTTTATAGTTTTTCTTTTTGATGATTTTTAATTAATTTTATTATGATCCAATAAATGCAAGGAATTATTCCAACGTTTTCACATTTTCTAAAACTTGCTTTGTGGTCTAAATATGATCTCTGTTTTAGAAATTTCCATGAGGAATTGTAAAGAAAGTGTATTCGACTATTGTTGAATGAAATATTCTGTAGATGTCTGTTAAGTCCATTTGATTATAATTTTCTAACTCTGCAGTACCTTCATTGATTTTATGTCTGGATGATATGTGTATCAGTGAGAGAGGTGTATTAAAATCATACATTGTTATTATATTGAACCTTTATATAAGTCTTTATGTCAAGTAGTGTTTGCTTTATAAAATTAAGTACAGCTATTTTAGGAGCATACATATTTGCAATTGTTATATCTTCTTTTTCGATTGTTCCTTTTACCCATATTTAGTGACCATATTCTTTGTCTCTTCTAATTAAATTGGCTTAAAGTCTGCTCCTTGTCATGTTCTCGAATTCTATTTGCATAGAGTATCATTTTCGATCCTTTCACCTTCAGTGAAAGTCTTTGCCAATGAGGTATTTTTCTTGCAGGTAACTTACAGTTGAGCCTTGTTTATTAACCCAATCTGCCAGTCCTTGTCTTTCAACTGGAGACCATGTAGAGTCAATGCTATTGTAGAAATGTATGTATTACTTAGTGCCATTTTATTTCTACTCTTTGATCCTAATTCTATTTAGCTTATCTACTCTTCTAATGAAATTTATTCTTTCTTGTATTTTCTTCAATTCTTCTTTTCACTTTTCTGTACTGTTGTTTTCATCCTGCTTTCTGTTTTCTTATTTTTCTGCATCTGTGGTTTGTTTTTTCATAATAATTTGGGGAAATTATAAAGCAGAATTAATTAAATATTTCTTCTCTTCCTTTATTTTTTTTTCTGTTCTCCTCTTGGTATTCCAATTATGTAGAAGTTACACCTTTTTGTGCTGTCCCACAGACTATGAACATTTCATTTGCATAGATTTTTTTCCTCTTTGCATTTCAACTTGGGAAGTTTCTATTATATTATTTCAGTGAGCTTATAGTTTCAGTTCTTTATATTTAATTTTTTCTAGCCTGTGTTCAGTCTATTGATGAGCATTCTTCAATGTCACTTTCATGTCTGTTAGCATTTTCTCTCACTTAATGTATCTACCTTTCCTCATTTACTGTCCATCTTCTATTGAATATTGTCCTAATTTTTCAAGAATCATTAGCATTTTAGTTATAGATATTTTAAATTCCCCAACTCATTTTTCAAATTATCTACCATATCCTGATTTGTTATCATTTCCTGTGATTTGTAAGTGTATCCTATTTTTAATACATGTTAATTAAAAAATATGTTTACTACTCAAATCTGAAATAATACTAGTAAAAAAACCTTAGAAAACAAACTGGAATCAGTTTTTTATTCTGGAGAATAATTCAAAATGTTTTCTTTTTATTTGATGCAAATCTGTGTCATTTGAATATAAAAATGACACAATTATTGGAAATAAATAATTTATTGTAAATAAATAATTGTGTGTAACTGCTATGATAAAGAAAAAGTGTGGGCCAGATCATGAGGCCTTTGAATGATGAGTAAAGAAAAGTGTTATTTTTCAGTTGCATAAATTCTGGGCATGGTCTTACTTCGCTTGGAATTCCTGATCATCTGGCCATAAGAAACTCCAAACTGCAATCATTTGCTGGGAAGAGGAGCCAGTGAGGTAGATATAGTAGAGGTTGAGAAGTAGAAATAGAATCAGACCAAATATTGAGAATCATTTCATGAAGAATATCACTCAAATAAGCCTCACTCTCATTTGTCTTAAGACCTAGTACAGGAAATCACAGGACTATCTGAATTTTGATAACACTTTCTGAAGCACCAGCCTTCAGTTCATTCCCTACAGTCATCTCTCCAGAGCAGAGAAGTGTTCTGTAGTGACTACCAACGCAGGGGACTCTTCCTTTTGCCACGGATCAGCTTATCACCTCCAATAAGAAGAATGGAAGAAAGGTAAACCTTTTTTAAGAACTTATTCCCAAAGCTGTGTCTTTTTTTCTATTAGTCCACAATCAGATAAATTCACCTTGAGGTGGAGGATACAAGGAGCTTGATGTGTTCTAGCAGGAACAGACAGGGGACATGACAGTCTCTCCCAGCAGCATTGAGGGCTGACAAGGTTGAGTGTGGGAGTCATGAAAGCTGCAAACCAAGACAGTTGTCTTTTGTTGGACCTTCTCCCCATTCTGTGCTTAACTATAACTATACTTTGCTTGGAATTCCTGATCATCTGGCCATAAGAAACTTCAAACTGCAATCACTTGCTGGGAAGAGGAGCCAATGAGGTGGATATAGTAGAGGTATATAATCTATTCAAATTTATTGGTAGAGTGACAAATCTGCTGCTTCCCTAATTTAGGAGACAATATACATGGATGTATGCTTTTCAAAGCTAAAGTGCTGTGAAGAAACCAGTCACTCATGTTACTTGTGTTGGAATTTCTCAGAGCCTCCACGTAAAATAGGTGATCCAAAAATGAATGAGAAGAGATTAACCAAGGTAGAATTTACCAATATGTGCATAGTTTGGGAAAGTTACATGGAATGGTGAATCTCATTCCTCCCCCAGGAAAATAATATGGAGTAGAGAGAGGTTCATATTTCACTATGTTTAGAAACAATAGGATAGAAACTATCATAATTGAGAGCACCTGAGGTGAACTAAGAGCACCTGAGGTGAATTCAGCCCTTGATGCCCAGAGGTTCCTGTCTTGGTTCACTATGGTCCTCTTGTCTTGTTTGAGTTCAGGACACTCTACATAGAGTGACTTGGGCCTTTGCAGTGGCATAAATGGGCTTCTAGGCTGGGATTTGTTGTACAATTACCCCTTGTTGTTCGATGTCTTAGCTTTTTCTTCCTTATTCTCTTCAAAATTTGCCTTTCCCATTTTAATAAGAGAGGTGTGTGCATTATAAACTATAAATGATACAAGTAAAATGCCTCATCCTCTGTCCCTTCGCCATGTGTAGTGAACATGCCACACTGGCTGTTGTCAGGTCTTGTGAAGGATGAAGATTCTGATCCAAACCTGTGGGTTTAAATCCAGGCAGTATTAGTTTTTGAGGTTAGATCTGAAGCAAATCTCTTGTAGTATTTGCCACAGATAGCTATATAGAAAATTAAAGTGAATTAATCCTTCAACCAATTGCTAAAGTTCACCTTCCTGAGAGTTCCTACTTGTTTCCAAACTGATTTGTGCATGAGCATCTCTCTTTTCACCAAAGTCCTTCATTTATGAGCATTTACATAAAAAATTCCCATGCTTACATCAGCCAATTAAATTGCTAACTGGTTTTAAAATGCAAAACAAATTCTACATAAAATCACTTGGGGGAAAAGTCAATAGTTTTATACTCTACAACTCATAGACAATCCTTCCTAATCACTCGTGGCTGTTTCCATGCCTCAACACTCTCTATTGCCAATTCTCTTTCCCCTTTCTCAAACTTCCTTTTCCCCTTCAAAAGTGCAACAACTTCAATTTAACCTGGAAATCTCTCCCTAAAATGTAGCCTTACACTCTTCTAGGTAATCATTAAAGTCATATTCTAGCCCTCCCTGGGTTGGAGACATGAGAGTGACCACCCTGGACCATCGCTGCAGGCATAAAGAATTCTTTCAAACACATCAGAATTTTCTTCAGAAGGAATCGTGAGCAATGGCATTTTCTTCAGTGTCATACATGCATGTTTTCCGGTGACTGATGTCACTTAAAAAGGCTTGGGTGGCATTTAACTCAAATTTTCAACTATTCCTGGGCTCCTCACTCTTTTATTCATTTGTTGTTCACACATTTCTTGACTTTTTAAACTATTTTCTGTGACCCTCATACACAGCTGGGGACACATCAATCAGTACAAGGAAAATGTTCTTTAATTTTTGTCATTTACAAATTTGAAACAGGCACTGAGTCATTATAACCTAAGAGCTAGCTGTCTTCACAAGTATCCTATCAATAGCTCATATTCTCTTTAAAAACCTAATTATGATGTCCTTTCTCCCTGTTGTATGGATCCTCCTGGTCAGTGAGGGTGAGTGTGGTCATACTTAGGGCTTCCAACTTTCTGAACCTGACACAAAACCTATCCCAAGACAGAAAGAAAGCTGGGCTAAGGATTCTGTACCTATTCCATATAATCTAGGATGCTGAGTGGGTGTTTGGGGGCCATCAAATATTCCCTGTCAGTAGAAAGAGGGGGTAGCAGATGGCCCAGGCTTTAGACTCAGTGAGAACTGGGATTGAAATTAGGTCCCATGACTTCTTGACCTTTGATGAATTACTTAATTTCTGCAGGCCTGTCTTTCCCTTCCCTGTGCCACAGGGGCAATACTTCCCACATAGCAGGGTAGTCTTAAGAATCAGAGATCTTGCAGCAGTTGTTCATATCTTGTTTGTATTCCCAGGAGCACCAGTGGAGGATTCATGAGCATGGATACAGTCATGCCAACCCGGGAGGCAGAAACCACAACAATGAATGACATTTTTCCAATCTGCTATAAGAAGAATCTTATCCTGGCTTTCCTCACCCTCATCATTGCCCTGATTGGTGTGGCAGGAAACGCAGTTGTGCTCTGGATCTTGGGATGCTGCATGCGCAGGAACACCTTCTCCATTTACATTCTCAACCTGGCTGCAGCTGACTTTCTCTTCCTCTGCTTCCAGATCATAGACTCCCTGGAGGAAGTCTTTAACTGTTTTTCTTCCATCTCCATGATCACTCCAAATTTCTTCATAGTTGTGTCAAACTTTGCCTATCTTTCAGGGCTAAGCATGCTCAGTGCCATGAGCACTGAGCGCTGCATGTCTGTCCTGTGGCCCATCTGGTACCGCTGCCACCGCTGGAGACACACATCAGCTGTCGTGTGTGCCTTGCTTTGGGCCCTGTCACTGTCGCTGAGCATCCCTGAAGGGAAGTACTGTGGCTTCCTGATTAAGTGGGATAACTATGGATATGAATGGTGTAAAACATTAGATTTCATCACTTCCGCATGGCTGATGGTTTTATTTGTCACCCTCTCAGGGTCCAGCCTAACCCTGATTGTCAAGATCCTTTGTGGCTCACAGAGAGTGCCAATGACCAGGTTATATGTGACCATTGGGCTCACGGTTCTGGTCTTCCTCTCCTTTGGCCTGCCCTTTGGGATGTACTGGTTCCTCTTATTCTGGATCCTGAGATATGATGTTATTCCTTGTGGCTCCTATTGGGTTACAGTTGTTCTGTCCTGTGTTAACAGCTGCGCCAACCCCATAATTTACTTCTTTGTTGGCTCCTTTAGGCAGCGGCGGTGGAAGCGGGGAACCCTCAAGCTGGTTCTACAGAGGGCCATGCAGGACACCCCTGATGAGGGTGACTCTGGAAGCAGGGTTTCATCAGGAAACCTTGGAGAGTGAGCAACAGTCTGGGGCAACTCGCAAGAGCCTCTGCTTTGATCAGACACATGTGCCTCTGAGAGCCTTCCTGGCCCTATCAGTATAGGAGAGGCTCAGAACCTGGTTCAGTTGGTTACCTGGTTACCTATTGTCAGGAGACAATAATTGTCCATATCTCCACTGTGACAGGGCCTGTTAAACACTGATTACTGTATATCTCTACCTGCCTTACTCAGGTGCTTTACCTCATTTGCTTGTGAGACTCATCAGCTCAGGATCCAGGACTGCTTCTACTTTTGAACTTTTGACAAACTTTTTTTTTTATACACCAGAAGACTGAAAACAGTAATGGTGGTGGTGGGGGGAATCTCAATTTCTTTCATCAGTGCACCTGATAAAGACTAAAAGAATCCTATGTTTTGGACATTTCCCCCTAAACCTTACAACCTTTGTCTCGATATTATTAGAAGAATAAAATAAATTACCCCTGTAATCTCTCTCTCCTTTCATTTTGGAAAGACTGTGTATATTGCCTTAGCATAATAAATGTTTACTGAATGAGTGTTTTCATGGATGAATACACCTAATTCATTTTTCAGTAAACCTGTGCTAAATCTCCACTTATTAGTTTTGAGTCATGACATTTATGTATTGTTTCCATCATTTTCAACTTTGGCAAGCTGGGTGTTCAGCTTTGTGATCAGATAAAGCCACATCCATGCATATTTAAGGTTTGACATAGACTATCTTTCTGTGATTTCTTTCCACATGTCCTCCATTAGCAACCCTTGTCTTTCCATTTCTTCCCTTTTGCCTTGGCTCTGATACTGTCTCTCTGCGGAGCTTTCTAATTAGACTCTTAGACTTTATTTCCAGAAGCTCACAACATGTATTTTATTAATTGTATGGCATGTATTTCTACTTAACACTTTCAGTGAAAATAGTACTTTCATTTTCATGGATATAGTGTTTAATTATTTTAACTCATGTATAATTAAATGATAATAACGAGCACAGATCAAAGTATACAGTTCAATGAGTATAACAAAGGAATATAGCTACATGACCCCCAAACAAATCAAGACACAAAACCCTTTTATACCTCTGTAAGTTCCCATTATTTCTTCCAGTCCATCCTCCTTGACCCAGAGCTCAGGATGCCTCTTATGTTTTTTTTTTTTTTAATTTTAAAATAAATTTTAGTGTGTTGATTTTAGGGTTATAACAATGCTATTAGGTAGATATAGATAAGGTAAATGATTTTATAGTCAAAAAATCAAAATCTATCATATCATGTAGTTATTAATTTTTCCCTTATTGTTAGAACTGTTATAATCTGTCCATTTAGCAAAATGTTGTACATAATCACTATTCTCCAATACAATGAAATGTAATACTCATATTTTACATTGTTTCATCCTACATGTTTATCACTTTAAATTTTTTTTATCTACTTTTTCACATTTTCCGCCTAGTGTTTCAAACCTGGTAACCACTATTGTACATTCTGTTTATATGTATTGCTTCTTTAAAAAGTATTTCACATAAAAGATTAGTAGAATAGAGGAGAGAAAAAAGGGAGGGAGGAGGAGAAAAAAGAGGGGTAAACGGTGAATGAATCCAAATTTCTTGTATTATAATTATGTGGAAATGTACCCAAATACTGTGTATAAATACAATATTGAAATAAAAAAACTTCCACATGGAAATAAGACCATGCAATATTTTTCTTCCTGTATTTGTACGTAGCATACTCTCCTCTAAGTACATCATGTTGTGGCAAATGACAGGATCTCCTCTTTGCTCATGTTGAATAATGATCTGTTGTATATGTGCACCTCCATTCTTCGACACCTAGGTTGCTCTTAGCTATGCTGCAATGAACATGAGGGTGCAGATTTTTTATGAGGTAGTAATTTAATTTCTTTTGGATATATATATACCCAGAGATGATGGCTTGGTCAAATGGTAGATCTGTTTATTTTTCATTTCTTCAGGAACCTCCCTACTGCTTTCCATAATGCCTGCACCAATCTGTGCATTCATCAAGTGTTCCAGGCTTGCCTCTTTTCCACACAATCACCAACACTTGTATCAGCTATAGTTTGGATGTTGAATGTCTTCCAAAGATTAACAATTTGTTCCCAGATTTGGCACTATTGGGAGGTGGTAGAAACTTGAAGAGGTGGGGTCTAGTGGGAGCTCTTTAGGTCACTGGGCCTATGCTCTGGAAAGACATAGTGGGACCCCAGACAAGCCATTCATCTCTCTGTCTTTTGCTTCTTGGTCATGAGGTGAATGGGATTACTCTGCTATATCCTTCAACACTCCCTAGTGTGCCCTAGGCCCAAAGCAACAGGGCAACTGATCATGGAGTTAAACCTCCAAAACTGCAAGCCAAAATAACCCTTTTCTCTTTAGAAGTTGATTATGTCAGGTATTTGTTATATTAATGAAAATTCAACACATTATCTCTTATCTTCTTGTTAATAGCTATCCTAACAGGTGTACACTGATGTCTCATAGTGGCTTTGATTTTTCTTTCCCTGATTATTAGTGATGCTGAGCACATCATTTTCTTCTCTTTGTTATTTATGTGTCACATTTTGAAAAATATCTTCTCTGGTCATTTTCCCATTTTAATTTATATTGTTTTTATTTTTTGCTACTGAGCTTTTTGAGATCCCTCTGAATCTAGAATATTAGCCTCTTATCTGTTATATTGTTTGTAAATATTTTGTACCAATATGTGGGTTGCCTTCATTTTATTGATTTTTTTTTTTTTTTTGCTAAACAGCAAGTTTTTAATCTGATGCAGTCAAATTTAGTTAGTTTTGCTTTTGTTTCTTCTTTTTTTTTGGTGGTATGTCCAAGAAACCATTACCAAGAACAATTTCTAGAAGACTTTCTCCTGTTTTCTGCTAGGGATTTTGCATGTTTAGGTCCTGACTCATTTTGAGTTAGAATTTTGTATGGTATAAGAGAAAGGTACAATTTTATTATTTTGCCTATAGAAATACAGCTTTCCCAGGACATTTTTATGAGGGAGACTATCATTTGTCCATTGTGTCTTCTGGTGCCTTTGTAGAAAATTAGTTGGTCATATAAGTTTGGATTTATTTATGGGCTGTCTATTCTGTTGTACTGGCCTATGTGTCTGTTTTTATGTCATGTACCATAATATTTATACCATACCATTTTGTATCCTTCTGTTCTGATTACTATAGCTTTGTAATATAATAGTAATCTGGAAGTGATACTTCCAATTTTGATTTTGTTCTCAGAATTGCTTTGGTTATCAGGGATCTTTTGTGGTTCCATATGAATTTCAGGATTTTAAAGTTTCTGTGAAAAATAACACCACTGGGATTTTCAAAAATTCTTTTGTTGGTGTATTGGAATCTTACATAATAGTGGGATTCATTTTTACATATGCATACATGCACATATCATAATTTGGTTAACTTAATTCCCCAGTATTTCCCCCTTCACTTCTTTCCTCCCTCCCCCTCATCTATTTTTTCTACTGTACTGGCCTCTCTTCTATTTTTTCTAAAGTCCCCTCCACCTTTTCTTCCTCTTCACTCTCTCTAGCTTCCACATATGAGAAAACAAATATGATTCTCGACTTTCTGAGCTTCACTTCCTTTACTTAACACTCTCAAGTTCCATACATTTTCTTGCAAATGACATAATTTCCTTCTTCTTTATGCCTGAATAAAATTCCACTGTGTATATACCATATTTTCTTTGAAAATCTTCTGTTATATGATTATATCATCTTCAAGCACAGATAATTTGACTTCTTTTCTGTTTGTATCCCTTTTACTTCCTTCACTTGTTGCATTAGTCTGTCTGAAGTTTGAAATAATATATTGAAAAGGAGTGGAAATCATCGAGGTCCTTGTCATAATCCTGATTTTAGAGGAAATGTTTCAGTTCTTCCCTATTCAGCATGATGTTGGCTTTGGGTTTTTCATATATCATATTTATGACTTTAAGATAAGTTCCTTCTATTCCTAATTGTTTACGGCTTTTTGTCCTGAATGGATATTAAATTTTGTAGAAGGCTTTTACTGAGTCTATTGAGATGATCATGTGATTTTATTCTCTTGATTCTATTTAAGTGGTGTATTATAAGTATTGATTTCCATATAAGAAACCATCCTTGTATCCCTGGAATGAAATCCACCTGATCATGATGAACAATCATTTAAATTCTTGTTGCATATGATTTATTCATATATTATTAAGAATATTTGTATTTATGTTCCTGAAGAATATTTGTCTGGAGTTTCCTTTCTTTGAAGTGGACTTACCTGGTGTTGGTATTTGTGTTTTACTGAGTTCATATGATAAGTTGGGAAATTTTGCCTCCGTTCTATTTTCTGCAATAATTTTGAGGAGCATGGACACTATTTATTCTCTAAAGGTCCAGTAGAATTTAGCTGTGAGTCCATCTGGTCCTGGACTTTCTTTATTCAAAGTTTTTTTTTCCTGCATTAATCTTTTTAATTGCTATTGGCCTATTTATTTCTATGCCCTCTTGGTTCCATTTGAGTAGGCCTATGTTTCTAGAAATTTGTTCATCTCTTGTAGATTTTTTAATTTATTGAAATATATATTTTCAAAATTGTCTCTAATGATGCCCTGGATTTCAGTGGTATCTGTTTTAATATGTCCTTTTTTGACTCTGTTTTTATTACTCTTGATCTTCTTACTCTTTCTTTTGGTTAATGTGCCTAAGGGTTTGTCAAGTTTTTTATCTTTTCAGAAAACCAACATTTTCCTTCATTGATCTGTTGTATTCTTCTTTTATTCCTGATTTCATTAATTTCAGCTCTGATCTTTATTATTTATTTCCTTCTGCTGGTTTTGGAAATGATGTGTTCTTGTTTTCCCAAGACCTTGAGATGCATTGTTGAGAGCCACAGCTGAATGGGCCCCAGCAAACTTCCAGCTGATTGGCTCACCGTGGCCCCAGCATGATTGGCTCCTCTGTGGTGATGCTTATTGGGCTG